TCGGGATCGATTTCCACAGGAAGCTAGGAATGGAGTCGAGTATCTATTTAGAGTAGAATTGTGTGCTTGTTCCAAATATCACTTCCAATCATTTTTAGGTTTTTCTTTAACAAACTACTATTATCAACTACTAATTAAAATTAAATTATGCTAAGCAATAATTGCTAAGAGTTGTATGGATAGAAAGATACTAGGGTAGTGACTTTCACCTAGATGGCTAATTGACGGGTAATTGCTAAGGCACGATTGACATAATTGGAGAAATATGCTATAACCGTTGCACGATTTTACCCACTCTCACTCCTCTTGATAGAGGGAGTGATTTTGACCAATTGAATTTCTCAAGACCAAATGGGTAGGCAAATTTGCTCAAGCAGCTAGGGTTCAAGTCGGGTAATTACTCTATCGAGGTTTAACCCTTTAATTGGGACTATCAATTCTCTTGAGTCCATCCCAATTCCTTGTTGGGTCAATTTTGGAAACTTAGGCTCTCTTTCTCAAGAAGAGCCAAGTCAACTTAGCACAAACCAGTGTTTGCAACCACCAATTCATAAATTAAACCATAAAATTGACCTAAATAACAAACACCCATAGTCTATCTAGCCCTAAATTGCAACACCCATCAATTTCTCACACTAGGATTGAGCCACAACCCTAGCTAATGGATTTAGCTACTCATTCTTGAAGAGAAAAACAGAGAAATAGATGAAGATAAAGATATATTAATTAATTGCTAAAGTAAATACAAATAATCTATCGTTAAAGCTAAGTTAAAATGCCCAAAATGGCTATAGAATGGCTTGTCACGAGCGCAGCTGAAAAAACTAAAATGTCTAATACCCTAAAAATGGAAAAAGGTTCTATTTATACTAAGCTGAAAAACTGGACAAAAATGCCCCTGCGGGGTCAGTGTGGAAAGCACAAAATGGTGTGCGGCCGTACTAGGCTCTTGACTCTGAAATTACAACTCTCTGAACCTAGGCTCCGCGGACCGCGTCCACGGAGGCATCTATCGCGGTCCGCACAAACACGACCGCGGACCGCATGGGCTTGAGGCTAGGCGCTGGACATCTCTCTGAACATAACTTCCGCGGACCGCATGAAATGGTGATGCGGCCGCGGTGTCTTCAGTGCGGACCGCACAATATGTACTGTGGCCGCACTGCCTTGATGCCTTCAAATCCAGCTCTCTGAATCTCCCTAATGCGGACCGCACAAAGTGTACTGCGGCCGTACTAGGCCTGTTTGTCCTGAGTTGTCTTGTCTTTGGTACTTGTGCAGGTTTTACTCCTTTTTGAGCCGATCTTTGACATCTCGTCACTTTGTCAATCAAACCTGAAATCAAGCACAACTTAGGAACCTTTTGGGACTATTTTGTAAGAATTTATAATCAAAGCGTAAGCAAGAAGGAGCATGAAATACGTCAAAATCCCTAGTTATCAATGGGCCAGGGCCACCAGACCTGTGCAGTCTCAAATTTTGTCGGACCATCAAATATGACTTAAGAAACAATAGTCACTGCCTCTCCATGATCGTTCCTTTTTTCTTTTTGCATTTTAAGGCCATAAAACTAGAATTCACCCATTTTTATATTTTTGTATGCTAGCCCATGCCTTCTGCGTGGGCCCAGGATCACCGGATTTGGACCGCCTAAAATTTTATCGAACCATAAAAAATGACCTAAGGAAAAATAATCGTCGCATCGCCATGACCGTTCTTCATTCTTTGCTGTTTTAGGGCCATATAACTGCAATTCCGCACGATTTCTAGATTTTTGTGTGCTATAGCCCACACCTTCTGCATGGGCCCGGGCCACTGTACCTGGACCACCTAAATATTTGTCGGACCATAGAAAATGATCCAAGGAATAACAGTCACCGCTTACCATGACTGTTCCTCCTTTTTGGCGTTTTAGGGTCATAAAACTCGAATTTCGCCCGATTCTTAGATTTTCGTTTGCTATAGCTCACGCCTTATGCACGGGACACCAGACTTGGAACACCTAAAATTTTATTGGACCATAAAAAATGAACTAAAGATCATTAGTCACCGCCTCTCCATGATCATTCCTCATTTTTGGTGATTTATGGCCATAAAACTAGAATTCCGCCAGATTGTCAAATTTTCGTGTGCTATAGCCCACCCTTTCTGCATGGGCCTGAGCCATTGGACCCAGACCATTTGAAATGTTTTTCGTCCATCAAAAATGAGCTAAGAAACAATAGACACCGCCTTGCCATGACCGTTCCTCGATTTTTGGTATTTTAGGGTCATAAAACTGAAATTCCGCCCGATATTTAATTTTTCGTGTGCTATAGCTCACGCCTTCCGGATTGACCCGGGCCACCGGACCTGGAACGCCTAAAAATATTTCGGACCATAAAAAAAACTAAGGAACAATAGTCACCGCCTCACTGCGACCGTTCCTCATTTTTTGGTGTTTTAGGGCCATAAAACTAGAATTCTGCCCGATTCCTAGATTTTATTGAGTCATAGCCAACGCCTTATGCATGGGCCATGGCCACTAGAACCAGACCTTCTAAAATTTTTTTGGACTATCAAAAATGACCTAATGAACAATAGTCACTGACTTGCCATGATCGTTCCTTGTTTATGGCGTTTTAAAGTCATAAAATCAGTATTCTGCTCGATTCCTAGATTTTCGTGTGCCTTTCGGCATGGGCCCTGGCCACCAGACTAGATCACCTAGAATTTTGTCGGACCATCAAAAATGACCTAAGAAGCAATAGTCACCATCTCGCCATGACCGTTCCTCACTTTTTGGCATTTTAGGGCCTTAAAATTCGAATTTCGCCTGATTACCAAATTTTCGTGTGAAATAACCCACGTCTTCTGCATGGGCCTATGCTACTGGACCCGGACCACTTAAAATTTTGTCGGACCATCAAAAATGACCTTAGGAACAATATTTACCGCCTAGCCATGACCGCTCCTCTTTTTTGATGTTTTAGGGCTAAAAAACTAGAATTTCGCCCGATTCTTAGATTTTCTTCTGCTATGGCTCACACCTTCTGCATGGACCTGGACACCTGACCAAGACTGCCTAAAATTTTATCGGACGATAAAAAATAACCTAAAGAATAATAGTCAACGCCTCTCCATGACTATTCCTGGGTTTTTGGCTTTATGGGCCATAAACTAAAATTCCGATCGATTTTCAAATTTCGTGTGCCATAGCCCACGCTCTGTGCTTGAGCCCGGGCCACCAAACCCCGGCCGCCAAAAACTTTGCCGAATCATCAAAAATGACAAAGTGCTTTTTGTTCAAGGACAAAGTTTTGGACTTGGCTCGTGAAAAGAAGATTGTGCTTGAAGATGAGAAAGCAAGCGCAAACCAAGTCTCTATCACATTTGGCTCATTCAGTCCAGACGAATTATGTAGTTTTAAAGAAAGTAAAAATGAAGAATTAATGAAGAACAACAAAGTTGAAGACGATCAACCTGAGGATGATGAAGGTTGGACATTGGTGATTCGTCGTAGGCGCCACAAAAGGAGCCCAAGAAAAGGATCAATGGAACAACCAACAAGGAAAACAATAGTAAAAAGACCGAGGATACGAAATCCAGTTAAGCATTTAAAGAAAGCAAAAGTGGAGGTGCACCACCCTCAAAAACCACGACATCTAGTGGCCTTGGAGGATTTCTTGCCATGTTGGTTCCGCATGAAGATTTCCCGTGATGGTATTGAGGCCTCTTGTTGCAATGCTGATAAAGGGGAAGAAAGGAGTGATGGCCTACCCTTGGCACCATCTTCAGAAAAGATAATCGAGTCTATTCCTTAAGAAGTTAACGCGTGCGAGGAAAAGGTTACGTTCACAAATGACCATCTTCTACTGGTTGACACTCTTCACAACTGCTCATTATACCTGGTTGGCTATATGCGCGATGAAAGAGTAAATCGAATTTTGGTTGACGGAGGGTCCTCAGTGAACATCTTGCCGCACTGTGAAAGAACTCGACATTTCCATGACTCTCGGAAAGTCGTGTGATGATTCATGGATTCAACTAAGGGGGGCAAAGAGCCATAAGCACAATCAAGTTGGGAATCATCATTCAAGATATGCAATCAAGTGCATGGTTGCATGTGATCGATGCAAAGATTTCATACAACGTCTTGCTTGGAAGGCCTTGGATACATGAAAATAAAGTAGTACCATCTATCTACCATCAATGTTAAAATTCTACAAGGGTGAGTCGAGAAGAAGATAGTTGCTGAGATGAGCCATTTACCAAGGCTCAGTCACACTTCGCCCACAGGACGATTTTGAATTTTTTATGTGGTAATATTCACCCCATCTTCATAAATTCGGGCGATGGGCTCCGCATAGCCTAAAATTTTGTGGGCCCATAAGAAACAACATAACAAACAATATTCATAACTTTGCAATGGTTGTTCCTTATTTTTTGACATTTTAGGGTCATAAAACAGGAATTCATGACGATTTTTAATTTTTCGTGTGCTTTAGTCCACACCATAATCATGAATTCGGTGATGAGCTCCGAATTGCCTAACTTTGTGTGCCTATCAGAAACGGCCTAATGAAAGCAATAAAAGTACATTTTTGTCTTCTAGCTATTATTCAAAGTATTCCTCAGTTGTTCTCTTTTCTTATTCGCATCCAAGCTTATATCAAGAGTCCGATCAAAGTTGAATTTTTCATCCTGAGATCAGGCTTGATCATCACATTACAATTGGTTTGATCTTTTATTTTATATTTAACTTAATTACTTGTTGTTCTTAGATTTTTCGCATTGAATTGAATTACATATCTTTTAAACCGCATACAAATTTAATTGTTACCCTTTTTTGAGGTTAAACAATCATATAATTACAGGATCACAAGTTTATCCTTCTAGTCTTATAATTCAAATAGATGAACCATACAATAATTCCATCTTAAACATTTTTTTCTCAACCACATTAAAGCTAAATAAAAAGGACAAATAGATGATCAGGAAAAAAAAAACAGAGAAGACAATTGGATTTCAAGTTTGCAACTAAACATAAGGTTTCAACTTCCTTAAAGGTAATGCACTTAAGCAAATCATTTATAACAGATATTCAAACATTCCAGGGATCTAACTACTATAAGCTTGAATAAAGATTTGACTAAAAAGAAGAAAAAGAAAACATAAAGTCCCTAAAAAAAGGAAGCTCAATACATAAAGCATCTCGCGTTCATGCAGGGTTCGAGGCAGGGCTGCACCCAAGGGGGTGTGATGTAGGTAGCCCACCCTAATACAAGCATTAGTGGCTGAGTCTACGGTTCGAGCCCGTAACCTATAAGTCACACAAAGATAACTCTATCATTGCTCTAAGGCTCCACTTCATAAAGTCCCTAGAACAGTACTTCAAAAATTCAATATGAATTCTGTTAGTACTTCATCCCTGTTCTCACTGCATTAAAACCATATAAAGAATTCTTTTAGCACGTCATTCCATAATGACTCAATTTTCTACACTACACTTCTATATCAATTAGATTCTATCTGTATTAACAGATCTCAAAGTTTACAAGCCTTTTTATGTGATAAGAAGGTAAGCAGTTAAAAATCGCAGCCGGGTACACTAAGTTCCCGCTATGCATGGGGTGAGGGGAACTGTCGGACCACAAGGGTCTATTATACACGGCCTTATCTTGCATTTTTGCAAGAGACTGTTTCTACGGCTCGAATCCGTAACCTCCTGATCACATAGCAGCAAATTTACCAGTTACGTCCCCTCAAGCAGGTAAAAAGTTAAAACAGAAAAATGAAAGGACACAGAAAATATTGATCAAGAATTCGCTAATATTCAAAGATGGAATTTTACGTACTACTATTGAAGATAATTCGAACTTCTAGGCCATCATTTCCACAGTTTTTTGCTCTTCTTGAATTTTCTTTGCACTAGTGACGGCTGCAGAACTACACCATTGTATTTGGATGAATTTTAGTGCCATTATTTCTCCAATACTTTGGGGAATCTCTTCCAGGTTTTGGAGCCCAAACAGGAGTAGTTGCTCGAGCATCGGAAAATTATCACTAGCTGCTTCCCACCTTTCCAGATTATATGCGGACTCAATTAGTAGATATTTTAATTTGTGAAACACAACATCTTCATTTAGTGTCCAATCTGTTCCCCAGAATGCATAACGTGTTTTGAGCACCTCAAGATTGGGTAAATTAGCCAGCGCAACCATATCTTCCCATGGGAAATAAGTCTTACTTAATCTCAATTGTTTGAGATTAGGCAGGAAAATATTCCTAGGGAGAATGATGCGGTCAATATTTCGTTCTGCTTTTATGGCTAATGTCTCCAGCTCCTGTAGAAGAATGAGAGAATCAAGAATTGCAGGCCAGTCGGCATGCTTCATATCTACAATCTGTAGCTTTTTTAGATTGGGAGTTCTTCTTAGGATTTCCGCTAAAAAGGGAGAGGACGGGAGAACAAGTTTTTGCAGGTTATTGAGAAATAAAGGTTGTTCTCCAATGCAAAGACTTTCCACCTCAAGAGGATTAGGCATATGTATACCTGTATCAATATCACTAGCAATATCAAGATGCCTTATCTCTGACATTGTCCAGATCTCTAGCGGGAGGTGAAAGTCCCCTCTTGTAAAATTACGAAGAACTATGGTTTGTAGTTTCCACAATTTGGCTAGTGAAGGCGCTACGTCAATTTTTGCAGCAACATATCTCAAATGTACAAGTTTAGATATTACCCAAGAGAAATTATAATCGACTGAAGATACCTCCAACACTTTAAGCAGCTTGAATTGTGAAACAAATTTAGGCATTAGATAAACTTCAAAAGAATACCCTGTAAAAACCAAGCTGCTGGTTGTACTCGAAATACCACTCCAATGCCTTGGAACATAAAAATGATTCCGATGATTGCCAAGTGAAAGCATCGCTCGCCGTTGATACTTTATGCTTTCTGAGGAAATGTGGTAAATATCACTCAGGACATGCACAAAATTCTCAATTTGAGCTTCTCTTATTCACAGCTGTCGAAGAAGATCATGAATTTTGCAAGTTTTCATCCTTTCATTAGCCCGTCGTCTACCAGCCAAAATGAGACTTCTGTAACAAACCACTTTACTTATTCAAACACTTCTATTACTTCAATAGTGACTAGAAATTGCAAGACACTAAACTGAAATACAAAGAAAGGAGAAAAGGGATGAGAAGCTCAGAGGAGATGATACAGACAGTGGAGAAGGAAGATGAGGAGGAGCAGACATTTCATTCAACAATAGGCATGCCCGGCATATCCCCCTGGATCCCAAATATAACTCTTCAATAATCTATTCGGGTTTTTAATCCTTGGGCTTTCTCTTAAATTAGGTCCTGGCACAATAGTCCTAAATGGATCAGTCTTTACTGCATTAGCCTTGTTCACAACAACTTCTGTCAATTAGCTCTTCTAGATACTCCTCTGCCGCCATTTCTAACCTTTTATTGCTTCTTGCCCTTACAAATAGCTCAGCAATCCATAGTTTAATCAACTTTGAAACACCAATCTCCATATCTTCAGGAAAACCTCCAACATAGAGAAAACAAGCCTTCAAATGTTGGGGCAAGTAACTGTAGCTCAATGAAAGAATTGATTGACACCGTTCAGATACCGTACCAAAGAATGAGTTCAAATTTTCCTGAACTTTCTTCCAATTGTCAGGGGTCAGATCTATCTTTCCAAGAAGTCCAGTAACGACAACAATCGAGAGAGGGAATCCTCGGCATTGCTATATGATATGCTTCCCAATTTCATCTAGGTGAGGAGGACATATGCCTTCTCTAAGAAGTGTTTCGGTAAATAGAATCCAACTCTCATCAAAACTTAGAAAAGACATATTATGATGAGGAAAATCAGGGCTTGCGTAATCAGCCACATAACTAAGGCTAGTAGTTAATAGGATTCGACTTCTATTGTTGTCATTTGGGAATATTCTTTGTATTTGATCCCAAGCCTCAGTACTCCAAAGATCATCTATGACAATTAAAAATCTCCTACCAATCACACCTCTATACACAATCTCCGCTAGTTGATCATTGCTTATTTTTTGATTACTTTCATCAGTCCTATCCTGGCTAATTGAAGAGACAGGTTCAAGAAGCATTTGTCTCTTGTTATAAACTTCAGAGATAGTTACCCATGCATGTTTATCAAATCTATAACGGATTGTTGAATCATCATAAACTTTTCTAGCAAGAGTTGTCTCACCTATACCGCCCATACCAACAACTGGTATGACAGTTAGCTGATCTGTTTTGGTAGTGAGACGATCTAGTATGGTGTTGAAGTCATCCTTCATCCCGACAACAGTATGTTGCTCTGTCGCATACCTTTTCGATGAGGTAGAAGTACTTGCTTCTACAGATTTGCTTCCATGCTCGATAAACTCAATCTCCATCAATTCTTTCCTTAGAGAATCAACTTCTTTTTCAACTTTTGCAATTCCTCATTAAAGGATTTACAAGCCCGTTCTCGTTTCTGTTGATCTACTGAAATGATTATTATTCTAAGTGTCGAATCAACTATCTCTTCTGCTTTGTAGACTATATCTCTGATCCTTTTTTCTATAATCTTCAAAGTTTCAATATCTTTAATTTCCTTTTTTCTATGTTTCTCATGTGATGTTGTTTTCTTTAATAAAGTTGAAGGATTGCCACTTTTGTTGACAAATGAGCACACAATGAAGTCCATTTTAAATTATTAGCAGTGGCTGAGAAAGGGGTGTAAAAATATAAAAAAGTAAATATATGAAGAAAATAAGGGAAACATATAATATATATACAAAAGAATAAATTTTTGACCTAGCTAAAACAGTGTAATTTTCTATCAAAGGGGGGTCAATTGGTCTCCGCCACTGACTAATACTAGTAATATTACAACAGTACTGCGACTAATTCAATTCTCCACCAACCTAGATTTTCCGCAACAGCAAAAGCTATGAACATGACAAAACTATACAACTAAAGCTACATTTAAAATGCTATCTTATGTTTTTAATTACTAGTTTAGCTGGAATTTTGATGTTACATAATGATCAAATAGTTTTGTACTTCTATGTTGCAAGTAACATGTTCAATCTAAAGATTCAAAATGCTACTATATCTCATTTACTCTGTGTTAAGATCACCAACATCAGCAGATTTTCCAACAATGACTCGACCTTCCTTACGATACAGTTCTAAAATCAATTCAGAATTTGATATCAGTGGCAAAGCCGAAATTGGTATTCAAACTTCAAATAAGTAAAAAGATTTTCGACAAAGAATATTCAATATATTTTATATATATCTAAAATTTAATATTTTACTTATATGCAGAGTCAGTGGCGGAGGCAGGATTATCAAGTTTTGAACCCCCTTGCTTTTGGGCAGTGTCAAGGGGATTCAAAACATAATATATTGAGGTAAAAAAATAGATTTTGCTTTATATATACAGTGTAATTTTTCGGCAAAGTGTGTTCGGATGAACACCCTTCTGCCCCCCTAAATCCGCCTCTGTGCACAGTGTAATTTTCCATAATATTTCGACGAATACCACCCTTAGCAAAAGGTGGCTTCGCCCCTGTTTGACATAGTTCATATCCAAATTTCTTCAAAGTTTACAAGCCTTTTTATAAGATAAGCATGTAAAAACAGAAAATATAACTAATTTTGAATACTAGATAATTCGAACTTAAAGCTCATAATTTCCCCAGCTTTCTTGCTCTTGTTGAATTATCTTTGCACTATTCTCGATTGAAGAGCTGCAATCTGTTAATTGGATTAATTTTAGTGTCGCTATATCTCCAATACTCTGGGGAATCTCCAGCATCTCACACAATTCCAGTACTAGTTGTTCAAGCATCGAAAAATTATCACTAGCTACTTCCCAACTTTGCAGATATGCGCGCTTAATTCGTAGATATTTTAACTTTTGAAACACAACATCTTCATTTAGTATCCAATCTGTTCCTTTGAATCCAAGGTGTGCTTTGAGTACCTCAAGATTGGGTAAATTAGCCAATACAACCATATCTTCCCATGGAAACAAAGTACAATCTAATCTCAATTGCTTGAGATTATGAAGTTTTAAAATGCACCAGAGAAAAGACAATTTTATTCATGAACAACAGGCTCTTTATATGGAGTAGATACAAATGGAAATACATAAAAAGTGGAACAAACTGATATGATAAGATTCTCTGCAGTAGGATACACTAGAATACAGGAAACTAACAAAATCCTAAACCTGGAAAATAGGAAGCTAATAACAAACTCCTAAACTGAAGGATATCAATTGTTATCCTTTAATACGCCCTCGCAAGTTGGGGGTGACTGGAACAAGCCCCAACTTGTGAAAATTGTGCAGAAATGTGGTACGTGGAAGAGGATTCGTGAGGATGTCGGCAACTTGATCAGTAGAGTGAAGGTGACGAACCTCAAGTGCTTTATGTTGAACTTGCCCGAGAATAAAATGAAATGAAAATTAATAGCTACATGTTTCATCCTACTGTGAAAAACTGGATTAGCACAAATGTAGGTGGTACTAACGTTGTCACAGAGGACTGTTGGTGGAGCAGACAATGGGAAATGAAGCTCATGGAGCAAATTCGTGAGCCAATTAACTTCAGAAATAACAGCAGCAACAAATCGGTACTCAGCTTCCGTGGATGAGAGTGAAATAGACCTTTGCTTTTTGAAAGACCAAGGGATTGGTGAGTTCCCAAGGTAGACAACATAACATGTTGTTGGTGTTCTATCTTGTGGATTTCCAGCCCAATCAGAGTCAAAACAAGCAAGTAAACGATCTGTTGGTTGTCGACATAGCTTAACTCCCATTGTGTTGGTGTGTTTCAGGTAGCGCAACAACCGTTTGATAGCTTTCCAGTGAGACACTTTTGGATAATGCATAAACTGAGACAACTTGCTAACAGCAAACCCGATGTCAGGCTTAGTGAAGGATAGGTAGTGAAGCTTACCAATGATTCTTCTGTAAAGTGAAATGTCAACAGCAGAATCGGCTTCAGAATCAGCGAAGGAGCAGGTTGATGTCATCGGTGTTGGGACACCCTTGCATTCAGCCATGTGCAATTCATCCAGAAGATCCATGACATATTTGTGTTGAGACAAATATATGGCAGTTAGTGTTGATATTACTTCAATACCCAAAAAATTATGCAATAGCCCAAGATCTTTTAGAGATAATCGTTGAGAAAGAGTATCAGTGATGGACCTGACACTTCTTCCAATATTACCCGTAATAATTATGTCATCAACATATATGAGAATGTAGATAGTAACCTATACAATGTGAAGGTAAACAAAGATGAGTCAGATTTGGATTAATAAACCCAATACTTGTCAAATAGTTGGTGAGCTCAGTGTACCACGCCCTAGGAGCCTGCTTAAGTCCGTATATTGATTTTTTTAACTTGCAAACATATGTTGAATGTTCAGAGGACTCGAAACCAGGAGGTTGTTTCATGTGCACTTCTTTTTCAAGTTTGCCTAGTAAGAAAGCATTATTGACATCCAACTGATGAATAGGCCATGAGCATTGGGCAGCAATTGCAAGGACCAAACGGACTGTTGCGGGCTTGACAACGGGATTGAATATAGAATGATAATCTAACCCAGGCCTTTGAGTGAAGCCTTTGGCTACTAGGCAAGCCTTATACCTGTCAATGCTTCTATCAGGTTTATGTTTAACTCTAAATAACCACTTACAATCTACAACATTCCGAAAGGGATCACTGAGAACCAAATCCCACGTCTGATTTCTGATTAGAGCATCATATTATGCTTCCATTACTTCTTTCCAATGGGGGTATAGTTGTGCTTGGAAGTAAGAGGGGGGATTGGTGGTGAGAGGTTGGTTTTGGCAAGAAAAGGCTTGGGTTTCAGTGTATTTGTTTTTGATCGGGTAACCATTGGATGAGGAAGGGTGGTTGGTTTTTGTTGTGATGGAGGAGAAAGAACATGTTGGGGTTGGGATTTTATGGGTTGCTGTGGTTGAGGGGCTTGGATAGATACGGAAACTTTAGAGGTCCGACAGCTATAGGTTTGGATAATAGATGGTTTACTTTTTGCCGCATGAGGAGGGAGGATGGGTTGAGTAGGGAAGGAATAATCAGAGGTGCTAGTTGGATTGTTGGGATAAGGAGGAGAATTACCTAAGCTTTGTGACGCTGCTGGAGAAGGAACGTAGCAAGAATTTTCTATACACGTAGACAACGACAAAGGTAGTTCAAAATAATGTAACTCTATTGGGATATCTGTGTGTGTTCCTTTTGGTGAAGATACGTCATCCCAAGTAATTTTAAATTCAGATTTTTATAATTAGAGAAAATTGGGAAAAGGATAATTTTTTTCAACAAATACTAAATATCTCAAAAGATAAACTTTGGAGGTGGTTGGGTCAAAGCATTGATGGCAATAATATTTATTTGAAAATCCCAAATAAACACAGGGCTTTGATTTTGAATCAAGCTTATTTTGTGAATACAGATTTAGCCACGGATAACATAAACGACCAAATATTTTGATGTTCATAACTTGGTGATTCTTGAAATAAAATCTCATATAGAGATTTGTCTTTTAAAATTGGATTTATCATTCTGTTAATGAGAAAACCAGCTTGATAATATGCAAAACTCCAAAATGTGGCCGGTCTTGGTGCATTAGAGTTTTGGCAGTCTCGATGACATGGCGATGATGTCATTCTACCAGAGCAACTCTTTGTAGAGTATAAGGTGTGGAAACTAAGAGTTCGATGCCTTGTGATTTTAAATAAGAAGTTAAGCTTTGAAATTCACTCCTCCATCAGTGTAAAAAGATAGTATTTTTGTTTGAAACCGACATTCGAGCAAATGATGTAGTGTTTTCTTGATCTTTTCAGCAACATTGCTTCCTCATTTAGGTCCATTTGTGGAAGATCTTGCTCCTTTTGAGGATAAAGAGCCAAAAATAGGGGTTGATTCGGACGGAACTTGGGGTGCTTGTATTCCTAACGAGCTTGCTTTGCTCCTCGTAACTGGTTCAAAACTTCCAAAGGTAACATCGAGGATGCTTTCCACATCAGCATAGAACCTGGAATTAGCAGCTTTGGTAGAAGTTGAACCAGAGTTGATTTTCTTGGAAGCAATTTCAATGTTCTTAAATTTTGGTGATTGAAAAGTTGAGATGAGAGGTGGAGTTGATTTTCTTGGAAGCCATTTCAATGTTCTTAAACTCTGGTATATTTTCTGAGTTATGAAGACCTCTATTTATTATTGTGGAAGGGAAGAGTTGTGATAAGAACAAACTCTTTCCGACCAATCAAATTGAAGTGTGACGTGACAAAATTTGATTGGCCAGAACTTCTTACTTGCACACGTGGCATGGTTTCATTAGCCCTATAATGTGACTTGGCATGCCTTGT